GAAATGTTTTTATTGAAGACAAATTCTGGCTTTGGAACCCTCAAATGCAAGGATTGTCTGGATGTACTTGGTTTTATATTCATCAGTTTTTATAATAATGCATATAAGGTAGATATTGCTGTATTTTCATACATGAGAACGTTGAGGTCTAGATAAACTAAATGACTCGCCAGCAGCTAGTCATACAGCTAGTGAGTGGCTCAGCCAAGGTTGTCCCCGAGGTCTGACCCCCAGTGCCTCCTGGTCATCACCACTTTTGCAGTCATCCAGGCCTGCACTGCCAACCACAGCCCTGGTTACAGCTGTCCCGGTGGGGGATTCGTGCTTTCTGAGAGTCCGCATTCTCTGACAGCAGATTAAATGTAAAATATTCTTTATTCCACAATCTGTGTTTAGCTTTATGTTTTCTAAAATAATATTCTAGGCATTTCATTTTTATGGTACTGTGGTTTTTTGGTGTGTTTTTTGTTTCAGTCCAGTTTATGGCATTTTAAGGGTTGGAAGTTTGGCTTATTCCTGACTTGCGTCTATTTTTCAAAACGAGAATAGTGCTGACAATCAGATTGCAGTTAGTGGGTAATTTATTTTAAATTTTCTTGAACGTCTAACATTCACATTCCATCCCATTTGAAAAAGGTATACATGCTTGTTGTTTCTATGCATGTATTCTCTGGTAATTAGCTTTTTAATAGGTAATATCTCCAATTGGCTTTAAATTTAAGCAGGTAGAAAATAACACTTGCTCAGTAGAACTGGGTAGCACCTACTGCGTACCAGGTGCTTATTCTGCTAAGCATTTTTAATTGTATGAATTTAATGCTCCCCACAGCGATGCAATAGCTACCACTCTATCTCCATTTTACAAATGAGTGAACTTCATGAAGCAAGAGAGGTATCGCGTATCAAGCTGGTCTGGGTTTTGTCATTTGTCCAGTCAAGTGTCACTGCCTCTGGGAAGCCTCCTATGGACACAGCTCTCTCCTCTCTGGGCCGGATTCAGTGCTTCCCCTACAGGCTTCTATGCACTTTTCTTTCAGTGCCTTATTGCAGTGCCCCCTCATTCTCGCCTTAGACCGAATCTTCTCCAAGGCGGGTACCCTGTCTTAGGCTTCGGGGCTGACCCAGGACTTAGCACACTTCCGGGCACTTGCTAAGTCCTTCATACACGCTGTTTCGCCAGGACAAATATCCCCATTTCACAAAAGGGTATATCTGCTCCGCCTTCTTCACAGAATCTTCAAGAAAGCAAATGAGAGTTCACAGCTGTCTGTCAGCTTTAGAGCACTACACTCACGTAGCTATGAAACCGATGATGGAGTGTTCTGCCTGTGCTCAATGAAGATTGATGCTTTCAAGCCTCTAGATACTAGCACAGGGGTTGGCACCCCGGACAAATAGGTGCTTGATGAAACCCACTGTGTCACTGAGTTCTGACCAGCCTCTTTTCACCCATTCGTCCTAATGATTCCTAATGATTTTTGTATGATTTGATCTTGTGCTTTTTTTTGCTTTACAGAAAGAAGAGTGTTTATATCCTGATATGTAAACATTGCAGACTCATACTGTCTTGATTTCATCACTGGTTCTGCTCTCTCTTTCAGTGTTTCTCAGTATTGGCAACATGAAAATCACAGGCTTGTAGTTTTGCTTTGCTTTTTAAAAATTATTATTTTTTAAATATATTTTTTAATTGATTTCAGAGAGGAAGGGAGAGGGAGAGAGATAGAAACATCAATGATGAGGGAGAATCATTCATCTGCTGCCGCCCCACACTGGGGATCGAGCCTGCAACCCATGCATGTGCCCTGACCAGGAATCGAACCATGACCTCCTGGTTCATTGGCTAATGCTTAACCACTGAGCCACACCAGTCTGGAATTTTCTTTGTCTTTTTAATGGAAGATTCTTAGGCTCTGCTTTCTGACTCATGTAATCAGAATCTCAGGTGGGAGGGAGACTTTTACACGGTTAACTTCGGTGAGCATCAAGGAATGAGATCTATTCTAAATATGTTCTAAATACTGTCTGAAAAGATGGCTTAATGTCACCACAGATATTTTTAATGAGAAACGCAGTTGTTTCTTATTTAACAGCTCTCGAGAGCACTGACATTTATCTTGTTCCTCTGCGGTACATTTCACAGTCGATTTGTGCTGGCGAGTTCAGTGGGTCCTCTAATTACTCCAAACCATGTGGCCGTAGCAAGCGGCTGATAAATGGGTTGTAAATTTTTTTCCAGGCTAAAAAATCATCTTTGCCTTGCTCAGAAGTTTGGGGCCTTGAGCCAATCCTTACGTATTTTGTTTTTAGCAGAACTTTCAGCACTGTGAGTAGACATTTCATGACTTGCTTGTAGAAAGGAAGGGCATCTATTCAGGCTGGAGCCTTGAAGAGGCCCATCCGTTTCCGTAAAGGTTGTCAGTCTTCCCATCTGCTGGTGTGATGGCTGAGTGTGCACTCTGCCCTTAGTAACCCACGGTGCCTGCAGGCCAGACCCCCCCCACAGAAAACACAACGCACAGCGATCTGATTGCCAGCTCTTGTCAAATGCTTCATTACTCACAACTGTTGGAAGGACATGCCGTTTAACGATTGTATTCTAGAGTTATCCCTGTATCAAGCTGAGCCATCATAAACCCTTTACAAAAATATCTTCTCTTCTTACTGCCCCTACTTTATTTCCTCATTTTTAAAAGAGAGCTGAGTTTCCAATCTCATGCAATGGGGTTTCTCAAACAGTTGCATTATCCCAGCCGGTTCCTTGCTGTGGATAACTGAGAATTTGCTTTTAATTTAATTAGTAAGTATAGCACTGAACCAATACATTGAAACATTGATATGGAGCAAGTAGCAAAAGTTTGATCCCCTTTCTCTGTCTATATAGGTCACGTTCAACACTAATTTTTGTTAAGTGGGCTTATTATAAAAAGTAGAAGTATACCACATTCTTCTAATTATTTTACAACACTTGGCACATCTCTACATCTTTTATATTATCAACTCAACTTTTAGCTTGTTTCTCCTAGCAAAAGGAGCCATTTGTTCTTTCATCAGAAAAAAATGTTTTAATTGATTCATTTTATGAGTCATTTTCTTATCCTGACTAAAAATGTTTTAAGTTAAAAAACATAAGCCAAAGAACTTACATGCATAAAGACATAACCCATGGACGGACAATAGTGGGGAGGGGGCATGAGAAGGGTGGAGGGGGTCAATGGGGAAAAAAAGGGAAAATCTGTAATACATTCAACAATAAAGACCAATTTTTAAAAAATTAAAGAATGACGCCGAAACCGGTTTGGCTCAGTGGATAGAGCGTTGGCCTGCAGACTGAAAGGTCCCAGGTTCGATTCCGGTCAAGGGCATGTACCTGGGTTGTGGGCACATCCCCAGTAGGAGATGTGCAGGAGGCAGCTGATCGATGTTTCTCTCTCATCGATGTTTCTCTCTCATCGATGTTTCTAACTTTCTATCTGTTTCCCTTCCTCTCTGTAAAAATTCAATAAAATATATTTTTTAAAAAAATTAAAGAATGAGACTTTGTGCAATTTGTGATGGAAAGTCTGGATACCTTTGCAAGCGGAGGGAAGATGTTATTTTATTTCACTTATTTTATGCCAGGAATGCATTCGTATCAAACTCCTGAAGGACAACTCAGTCGCAGGGGTTTATTTGTTTTAACAAATCTCTTGGTGGAGGCAGTGGAGAGCGGAGGCTACCAGGGAACAGGGTTCGTTCTGTTTGTTAACTCACTCTGACTCCTTAGCTCCAGGAATCTGTCCTCGGGCTCAGGCTAAAGTGACTTCTGTGCATCTGGATGTTATTTCCCAGGAAGATGGAAAAGCAAGCTTTCCTTCCACCTTCCTGCCCCAAGCCAGGAATTATGTATATTTTATTGACTAGAACTGTGAGATATGGCCCCTCCCACCTGCAAGCAAATTGGGAAAAGAGTGCTTTTACTTTTGACCCCTGTAGCAGGAGCCACAAATGGAAGAAGGCCCACGCATTGTTACTTTCACAGTCTCTGCCGGAAGTGCCCTTATCAGAAGTGAGCGGGTGTTTTTTTGCACCGTGCCTTTATCATGGCTCCTTTTCCTAGCCATAATTTAATTTAGGAATTCAATTCACAGCTATTCTGCATCTGTTCACATAGATACTTTATTTTCTCGAGGTACAGATTCATTATATTTTTAACGTGTTGAGCTTATTTATTTGATAAATTCCCAAGCCCTTCTGACTAGACAATATATTGCAACCTTTAATGTTTTTAAAATGCAGACTTGTGTAGCTTTTTGAACAATGTCTAATCCTGGTGAGACATACCAAACATAATGGCCATAGGTGTTGAACAAAAGGCAGTTTTCAAACCAAAATAGCAATGGAAGAGCTCCTTCAGAATCTGACTGAAGAAAGAGGAATGTAATAAAATGTTGGAAATGAGATAAAATTGTAAAATAAGTAAGGCATACGTTTGAGAGTAAATGAGAAACAATATGACAGGGCAGAGATGACATACAGTAGCACAAAGGAAGCGCAGAGAGATGGCCTGGGTTTCAGCCTCTTTCTACCACAGACAACTGCACTTTCCATGTAACTATCTTTCCGTGCCTTGACCTCCCCTTTTTTTTTATATAAATAGCAATTATAGCAACCTCCCAGTGTCATTTGGCTCCCCCACCTAGAAAACAGCTGGGTACTTGGTAATAAAGCCAGGTGTGTGCAGCTCAAAAATCTATGTCCTACTCAACTGATGTTTCATGTGAAAGAAACCCATACTTGACCAATAGCCAATTGTCAAGCTTAGAAGGGACCTTGTTATCATGTACTGGAAGTGACTACCTAAAATAAAACTATTCAGTGCATTTTTTAATGAATTGTTTAATTCCATTCATACGTGTATAGTCAAATTTAGTAAGATGTGTTTTCATTTGAGAATGTAATTGTACTTTTGAAATTCATGTTTTTGTTTTAATCATTTTTTATGTTTTTCTTCAAACTAGGATTTTAAGGGTGGACTTGGTATTACCATAATCCCCATGAATGTAGCCAATGTAAAGCAAGTGGACCGGACTATGAAACAGTCTTTTGAGATAATCACGCCCTATAAGAGTTTTAGGTAAGCTGTACTTAAACATTTTGTGCCTGTACTACTGTGAGACAGCTTAGGGGAGCCACTTTTACATCGCTAGTGGCAATTTTATTTCTTGCAGGACATTTAGTAAGACAATGTTTTTACTTTGCATTCTGTTTAATTTCTTAGCCAGTCTCTGTAAGCACCTGTGAAAGTGATTTAAATAATCATAAGACCTGCAGATACTAATTTCATGAAATTTGAGTTGTTTCTTTTCTTAAAACATCTTTGTCTTAGTGGACATAGTATGTTACATTTTTGTAATCAACAAATGTATGAAAACGTACTTTACATTTTGAAGGAATAAAGTAAAAGGGAAATACTACGTTGTCTTTAGGCTGTGTTGTTGTTTACCTTCTTTTAGCCTAATCAAGTATAGTCCCTCCTTTAAGATCAATGTTCTGTAATGATTTCCTAAAAGGAGCTCTAGTTTAAAATGACGCTGAATTTATTGGATCTCTTAGCATTTATTGATCAAATATTTTAGTGCTTTGTTATATATCTTGTATTATGGTATTCTAGTAATTTTTCATTATCACAGTGAAACACAAAGCTCAATATATGTTCTTCATATGTGTCAGAAGACTCCATAATGACTCCTAGCTATAGTACACAGAAGAAGCCTAAGTCAGTGTCTGCTGAGTTCAACCACATTAATTCGTTTGTCACAAATAACCAACATACCACAGGGTAGTATAAATGTCATAGGCAATTGTCAGAGTTCTTTAAGGACTAACAATTACTTATCAATCTCAAAAATACAACCAAGTCTGGTACTCAATTTATCTGACAAAATATGTCTGCTGGCTCAAATTTTAGCAACAACCAAAAGACGTAAGGAATAATAAGCTTTATTTTCACATATGCAGATTCATGCTTCAGCTGAAAATGTAGGCATTGACTGAGCTGTTTTTACTCACAACACTCTGACACCAAATCTGTGGGGTTTTCCTCTTACCAATCAATTCTCCAACTCTCTGGACTCCAATCGGGTGTTCTACAATTCAGTTCTGTTCTGCCATACCAGAGTGAGCATGAGACCCCACAGGCGTATGGCTCAGTCCCACAAGACTGTCCTCCAGATACCAGTTGCAAGTATTGGGTCCCTGGGTACCCACACTTCTGTGCACATTGACTATAAATGGGGTTCCCCTGACTCCCTTTCCCCCAGGTTTGATAAACTGCTAGCATTGTTCACAGAACTCGGGGAAACAGTTTAATTACTATTGCCAGTTTATTATAAGGAATACAACCCTGGAAAGGCCAGATGGGTGAGCTGCATAGGGCAGGCACAAGGGATTAGTGGTGCAGAGCTTCTGTGCCCTCTCTGGATGTACCACCCTCCTCAGAACCTTGTTGTTTAGGGGTTTTTATGGAAGTTTCATTCCAAAGGTCTGAGTGATCAAATCTTTGGCCATTGGTGATTACCTCAATCGCAAGTCCTTCCTCCTTCCCAGAGGTCACGGGGTGGGGCTGGTTGAAAGTTCCAGAGCTAATCAAACGTTGGTATTTCTGGTGTCCAGCTCCAGTCTAGACTCCCAGCCACAAGTTATCATATTAGCATATAAAAGACACTTTTATCATTCCAATGGTTTTAGAGCTATATACCAGTAAAGACCAAATATCTGTTTTCCATAGAACCATACTGGCTTTGACCAATCTCTATATAGAAAGAGAAACCACTAAGAAATGTATAACTATTATAGTGATGATGGTATCATAAAGAACGTCAACAAAAATCCACACTCAGTTTTCTTCCTGATTGTGTAACTTATGCTAGTCGTCTATATTTTCATTGTATTTCAAAGCATTTTTTTCTTCAGAACAGAATATTGTAATGCGAAGCATTGTTCTGTGGGTGATTGAGTATGGCACATTTCTGGGCACACAATAGGTACTCAGTAAATATTTCTTAAAGGAGTTTAAGAAACTGATCTTTAATGTTTTTATTCTTTCACTGAGGCACCCAACAAACACTAAGATTTAGAATAAATCAAAACATGGCTAAAAATGAGTCAGAATTCTGTTGAATAGTAATCCCTAAAACTTTTGATTTCTCATTTTCTTAAAGCCATTGTACATTCTTTGAATGACAAAATAATCTATTTTTAGTACTAAAAAAATTAAAACTTTATGGTGGGTATTTGTGTAGTTTAGTTTCAGACTACCCTGGCATTCTTTCCTGGGGAAGTAACCCTATAGATCTGAAACTCTGACAGTCTTACGTTGGTTATTATACAACCACTACTTAAGAAACAGTGCCTCTCATTTAATCTCTTGACCTAAAAGGGCAATTTTTATATCCTGGTCAGAAAAACATACACATTAATTTTGCTTCAAGATACATAAATGAAGTCATAAGCAATGTGAAAAATTAAAGAAAATAAATAGATTCCTAAATTAGATGATTGACAGAAGAGACTATCCAACTGCCTGGACGGCATATTTTTCAGCCGCTGAGTAATGTGTGAGTGAAATGAATATGCAAACCGAACATACCGCTTAATTGGCCTTTACCAGGGAGATCAATAATGCAGAAACGTTAATTGTTTCAGCTTTGTAGCCGAGTCTGAAAAGGAGAAACAAGAGTGGATTGAAGCTGTGCAGCAATCGATAGCAGAAACTCTCTCTGATTATGAAGTAGCTGAGAAGATTTGGTTCAATGAGTCCAACAGGAGCTGTGCAGATTGCAAAGCCCCGGATCCGGACTGGGCATCCATCAATCTCTGCGTCGTCATCTGCAAGAAGTGTGCAGGTAATTAATGATAAGTTATGCTCATCACCGTCTGGTGGCAGGTTGGCACTGAAGGCTCTTTATTGTCATATATAATGTGTCTCGGCTAATGGTTGTGGAAAATAAAAACAGAGAAAGCTTATTACATTTAAATCAATTTTCGAAATGCAATTCTAAGTTTCTCTTATGCATGGTTTAGGTATCAAAATTGATTGTTAAGCATGTAATCATTTTTTTTGTGCCTACTGGTCCATGTATGGATTGTAAAAAGAGAGCGTCGACATTTTGAGATTTTAGGGGAATGTGTTCCAGAACACACGCTGAACACACTTGCTGTTTGAATGATTTCTCCTTTTTCCTTCGGTCATCTTTTATCAATCCTGTTTTTCACATCAACGTTGTTCAGAGCCCTAAACTGGGTATACCAGGTCTGGTACCTTTCTAGGGAGAATTTTTATAGAGAAGCATTTTCCAAGTGTAGTGAGAGTTATGAAAGTAAGCAGTGCCATGACTGGTATTCCTGTTGTGGCCTTACACCCTACAGACTGTCTGCTAGTTCTCTGTATTGGGAGGTCAGACAGTTGTCCAAGTGAGTGCAGGCAGTGGACCCCAGCTTAGGTGTGAAACCATGGAGATCTTGGAGAAAGTTAGCCCTAACCCAAACTTTAATGCATCTTTTTGCTCTCCCAGGTACTGTGCTGGCCTAGGAATTAAAAAGATGTGGAAGGCATGGGATTTCCTGCAGCAGCAGATCAATAGTGATTATAATAGAGGAGGATGAGGGCAAGAGTAGAGTACAGGTTTCATTGAGTGACGTGGAGGAGAAGCACCTAAGTCAGCTGGAGCCAAGACAAGAACAGTTGCTTTAAACTCTTTTTTTTATTATTAAAATATTTTCTTTAATATATTTTATTGATTTTTTACAGAGAGGAAGGGAGAGGGATAGAGGGTTAAAAACATCGATGAGAGAGAAACATCGATCAGCTGCCTCCTGCGCACTCCCTACTGGGGATGTGCCCGCAACCAAGGTACATGCCCTTGACTGGAATCGAACCCGGGACCCTTCAGTCCTTAGGCTGACACTCTATCCACTGAGCCAAACCAGTCAGGGCTGCTTTAAACTCTTAATACTCTCAGTGCTACCACATTTCTCATCACCACAGGATAGATTTCCCAAACAGCTAATTCACAACGTCAATAGCAGCAACAAAGAGCATCCATTAATCCCCCTCTACTTTGCACATGTTCCTTTCCAGCCTCAGGAAGGCATAGCCTTTGTGTTGTCCAAGGCTGTTCTTTCTACCTATGCTCCCTTTCTTCTCACTCTCTATGTAGCTGTTCAACTATGGTTCCTTTTGTTTCAGTATATAAACCAGCCTTAGTCTGTCCTACTAACACCAGCTTCCTGAAAATGTAACCATTCCCTTCTGTGTACCAATCTGTGTCCCTTTTTTCTTTAATAGACAAATGCTTTCAAGAGTAGTCATCTGCATGGGTTTTCTTCATATCCTAAACTTCCTAGTTTTTCTTTAGCATCTCTAATCAGTCTTCCCTTCTCTCTACTGTAGTAAAATTATTCTCCCCACATTTACCAATGTATTCTACCTCTCCATGTCTGTGTGGTCAGCTCGTCTTTATTGTCTTCTGTGATATTTAACAATCTGACGCTTTAAGACTTCCCATCCTCCCTCAGCTTCCAGGAGACCATTTCCTCGTGTGCTCGTTCTACTCTGCTCATCCTTTCTCGGGCTGCTTTTCCTCTGCCTGCCCCTGAAATAAGTGTTTCCCTGGGGTTTCAAGCTCTGCTGTCTTCCACTGGATGTTCCTGAAGGGTGATTTTTATCATTGGACTTCAGCACTCATTTTTATGCAGATGACTGTTAGAAACCAACACTCTTAAATCTACCTACTAGAACCTCTTCTTAGATTTGCCCACGATCCCTCAAAAAATAACATGTTAAAAATGGAGCTCTCATTGATGGCCAGCTCATTACATGAAACTGCACTTTCTCCTATATTCCAGATCCTGGTCGGAACAGTCCTGCCCACCTACAGTAAAGCTTAAAGTCCCAGAGATCCTCCTGACCCCCCCCCCTCCCCCGTCCTCGCAGGCCACCGGGTCCGTCAGTTTCATCTTTGCGGTGTTTCTAAATCTGCCCTCCACCTTGTTTCTCTTTCTGTTGCCTTAACTCAGATTCTGTCATTTCTTGTGTAGGCTACTCTGTCCAATTCTTCCTACTTGGTTCTCAGTTTGACCCCAGCTGCTTTTAGGTGTTCTTTATAAATGCAAACCTGTGCAACTTCCCGCCCTGGGAGTTCTCGGGCTTTGTGTTCTGAGTAGTTTCCATCTCAAAGACCAGAGGAGAGAGGAACCTTTTTAAGGTAGAGAGAGGAACTCTTTCATGCTTTAAGGAAGAAAGTTCTTAAGATCAAAGGTAATGTCTTATGTACCTTTTTCCTTCTTGGGAGTTTAGACAATAAAGCATCTGAACATGACATTGTTGGTAACGACTGAATGTTGATTTATACGGCAGAACTGAACTGTTAATAATGGAATGCTGGGCTGTTACTCTCTACCATGCATACAATAGGAGAATAAAGAATCCACTTAAGCCCGGAGTAGCTAAGTGGTTGAGTGTACGCCTTTGAACCAGGAGGTCACAGTTCAGTTCCTGGTCAGGGTACATGTCTGGCTGTGGGCTTGATCGCTAGCGTGGTTTTTTTTAAAGACTCCATTGAAGATTAAGTACCCATTTATTAGAGTTGTAGCTAGTTTTTTTTTAAGAATAAAAGGATAACAACTGTTTTCATATACATGTAATTTACACAGACCCATTATAAAATATTTTCAGTGACCTACTATTTCTAATTAATTACCAAACGATGCAAAAATTATATATGTATGGATATACATACATGCGTGCATGCACACATATGTACACACCTGCACATATACATCTATACACACCGTTAAAGTATAGTTTTATGCCAGTACAAGACGGTGATGAAGGTGATTACTGTTAACTTCACTGTGGTTGGCTATGATTTCTGTATAAACCCCATCACTACTCCTGGGTGGAAATAGACATCAGTGTATTTTCACTTGAAAAAATATATAAACACAAACATCCATGCACACATAAACACTGTTTCAAAACGGTAAATACATTTGCATATGAATTAAAATAGAATGCAACTGTTTTTTGACTTTAGGACAACATAGATCTTTAGGACCAAAAGATTCCAAGGTTAGAAGTCTAAAAATGGATGCAAGCATTTGGAGTAATGAACTCATCGAGGTAAGTCTGGTCTTACTGTGGTGGTGTTGGTGGTGAGCAGAGGTCTGGGAGGAGAGGTGCCCGTTAGGAGCTTACGTAGGGAACTCCTTGAGCAACTTCTCACCGCAGTAGAGAAATTGCTTATAGCTTCTTTGATAGTACCAACTTTCTACTTTAACTTTCGTAAGGCTTCCTAAATGAATAGTTGTTTTAAAGATAAAGAAGTACACGGAGCTTTAATTGTAATAACTACTTTTAAGGGGTTGGCAGCTCTGTTGTTAAGCCAGAATTTACTTTCTTTTTAACCCAGCATGGATATAATATTAGAAAAGTGATGAAAACATTGGGAAAAATTTGCCATTCTTCATCTTGGCCATGCTGTGTCATTAACTGCGATTTTGTCTAACTTGCTGTCTCCCAGTTCCATTTTCTGCTCCGTTTCAGCACCACTCTCAGCCACACTAGTCCACCTACTCAGCCATTTTAAATGAATCTGTCTCAATGTGAGCTTCAAAAAATAATCATGCTTTGGCTGCAATTTGTGTGGCTTGCAATTTCCTTCCTCGCTAATCTTCTACTGTTATTAAGAGCAGCTAGACTGTATTTAAAATAGAAATCGTGTCTGCTTTCACACTCCATCTTCCTGAAAAAGTTGGATCTTTCCTGTGTTTTTGCATATTTTATACTAAGTTATGCTTTCATTTATCATGTGAGTCAGTTTTCTGCAGATTTAAGTCATATTTTAGGAACTGATATATCTTATAATTTTTTGATAATTCAGCTTTTTATTGTCATTGGAAACAAAAGAGCAAATGACTTTTGGGCTGGTAACCTTCAAAAAGATGAAGAATTACACATGGACGCGCCTGTAGAAAAGAGAAAAACCTTCATTACCCAGAAGTACAAAGAAGGGAGATTCAGAAAAACCCTTTTGGCATCTCTCACCAAGGAGGAATTAAATAAGGTATCCAATAGAGCATAACAATAGACATGCATTTTAGTATCTTATTAAATATGTGCCAAGGATTTTGGAAAGAAATAAAAAATATTTTGCTATTTGATGAAATTATTGCACAATCTCATTTTATTTCCTTTTGTGAGACTTTATCCATGGTTTCTCATTGTTTCTCTTAAGAGTTGTCATCAATGGCAGATAAACTCTCTGTCCGCAGATTTCAGCTAACGTAGGCATATCCCATTATTCTTAAACCCCTGACCACTTTCCCTATTTTAGGGACAGAACACGCTTCAGCTCATACATTGCTGACTTGCTGTCACCAGAATTAGCATGATTTACTTAATTTATTGTTACAAGCAATGCTTTGCTTAGTGCCGTTGATTTGAACTGTCACTTGCTTTTGGCTGAGTGAGTCCAGGTCTTTTGTGACCATTTTATGCCACCCACTTGATCTTCACTCATTTAATGAGGGACACGGGTTGTTTCCATACTTGGCTATTGTGAAAATAATGCTGCAGTGAACATCAGAGTGCTGATATCTTTTCAATATTCTGTTTTTATTTCAAATATATATATATTCAGAAGGGGGGTTGCTGTATCCTATGATAACTGTATTTTTAAGTCTTTTGAGGAATATTGATGCCGTTTTCCAACGTGGCTGAACTAAATTGTATTCCCACCAGCAGTGCACAAGGGTTCCCTTTCTCCACATCCCCGTCAACACTTGTTATTTCTTGTCTTCTCCAGCATAGCCATTCTGACAGGTGTGAGGCGATATCTCATTGTAGTTTTCATTTACATTTCCCTGATGATTAGTGATGTTGAATATCCTTTCATGTACCTGCTGGCCATTTGGATGTCTTCTTTGGAAAACTGTCTAATTTGTTTCTATGCCCATTACTAAATCAGATTTTTAAAAGTTGAGTTGTATGTGTCCTTTATATATTTTGGATTTTGGATAGTCACCCTTTGGATAGTATATGGTTTGCAAATACTTTCTCCTATTCGTCAGGTTGCCTTTTCATTTTGTTGATTGTTTTGCTGTGCAGAAGCTTTTAAGTTTGATATAGTCCCACTTACTGATTTTTGCTTTTGTTGCTTGTACTTTTGGTGTCATATTCAAAAATCATTGCCAAGACCTATGTCAAGAAGATTACTGTATTATAGTATCAGATTTTATTTTTAATTCTTTAGTACATTTGAGTTAATTTTTTTTAATCCTCACCCAAGGATATATGTCAGTGGTTCTCACGCTGTAGGTCGCGACCCCTTTGGCGGTCAAACAGCCCTTTCACAAGGTCACCTAAGATCATCCTGCATATCAGATATTTACAGTACGATTCATAACAGTAGCAACATTACAGTTATGAAGTAGCAACAAAAATAATTTTATGGTTGGGGGTCACAACATGAGGAACTGTTTTAAAGGGCCAGAACGTTGAGAACCACTGATATATGTTTTTATTAATTTTGAGAGAGAGAGAGAGAGATCCATCTGAGAGTGAAACATCGATTGGTTGCTCCTGTATGTGCCCTAAGAGGTAATTGAACCCTCAACCTAGGTATGTGCTGTGACTTGGAATCGAACCCACCACCCTTTTGATGCATAAGATGACACTCCAACCAACTGAGCCAGTGGGCCAGGGCTCGAGTTAGTTTATGTGAGTGGTATAAGATAGGGTCCAGTTTCATTTTTCTGTATGTGGTTATCCAGCTTACCAACCTCATTTGTTGAAGAGAATATCCTTTCCCCATTGAGTGTTCTTGGTACATAGATATTTATTGCATACTTACAGCTTGCTGGATTGTCTTTTAGTGTTGGGGATACAGTTTGTAGTAAAAAGTAGATGTGCTTATTTCATTCATGAGAGTGATCTTCAGTAGGAAAGACTGACCATAAGCAGATGAACTTCAATAAATAGGCCATAACATATATAGTGTTGTTAAGGATCAGACCAGGATGATGAAAGAGACAAGAAGAAGAAATACATATAATTACAGTGAGAAGGTGGTCAAAGTGGAAGGCACATTAGCTGTTATGTTTTCTAACACCCTCATTTTTCAGGTGTCAAAAAACTAAGACCCAGAGAGTTTGGAGAAAGGATTGCCCAAGATCATCTAGTGCCAGGTCAAGAATTCAGGCTTCTTGATTCTGAAGTGAAGGAAATTCTGGACGTCAGCTAGACCATGGTGGAAAAGAGACGTACTTTTTAACTAGCAGACAGGAACTGTGAATACATTCTGAGACTCGTTGGCTGCACACTCTCAGCTGCCCATTGGGGTAGCTAATGAGCGATTACCCTGAGGTTGCAGTGTGGAGGGCAAATTAATTAGTGACCCGTCCAGATGCACCACGTCAGCGAGAAGGTAAAGAGTGAACCTGAGGCTGAAGTCAGATGGCATCAGGGCGCCAAATCAGAGGGTTTGGAAGAAAATGGGAAGCCAATAACGTGAGAAAGCAGGAAGAGAGGATTAGAAGAGATGTAAAGGGAGCTTATTAATATAGGTCAGCAATGTGCCTGGTTACTGTTCCTGCTCGCCACATTACCCCTCCCCAAAGGGAAAGACTCTGAATTGGAGCTCATCTTTCAAATTACCACAACACAACAATAACTGAACAAATATACAGATCCCAATTAGGCTGGAAATTACATTCATACACATACACATGCATACATTCATTAATATGACAAAACATTCAGCGGATACCTCATTATTACATTTGAAACATTAAGATTTTTCTGAGCATCAGTCATCATCCTCGTATGTAAGTACAAAAAGTGTCTTCCAGAGCAGATATTCTGGATTAGAAGGCTTGGAACATCACAGCTACAAAACAATGAACTGAGGCTTGGAGGTCTTGGTTATAATTTAAATTCATGCAAAGCAGACCTTTGGTGCCTGTTGTTTAATTCAGGGCACACGTATAATTATATTTCTTAGTTAAGGAGGAATACAAACTTCCTATCGTAAATGGGCAGCCTTTCGCTCATTTTAATAGCTAGAATTGCATTTTCTTCCTTTAAGAGCTGTATTTTCTTTCAATGGCCAGGCTCTGTGTGCTGCTGTGGTGAAATCGGATGTTCTGGAAACAATGGCTTTGCTCTTCAGTGGAGCAGACGTCATGTGTGCAACCGGAGACCCCGTGCACAGCACCCCCTACCAGCTGGCCAAGAAGGCCGGGCAGAGTCTGCAGATGGAATTTCTCTACCACAACAAGTTCTCAGGTGAGCCCGTCATTAGCCTGGTTTCTTCTGATGTGTCCCTGAATGGACAGAAGCCCTTATCTGTTTATTTCTCAAATAAGAAAAGCCATCAGAATGAAGAAAAATATAACTACCAACAAGATGGAAGATGCGTCCGAGTACATTTTATTTTAAGAAAAAGTCTAGGAAATCTTTTACGTTTCTCTAATCTTACAAATGGGAGATTAAAACAGTTAATCCTACATTATCATTTCTACCAAAATCAGATCCGATTTTCATATATGAATAATAAACACAACGTAAGTGCTTATTTTTGCAAATTTTATGCAAAGTAAAATAAATATTTCTGTGTATTCTGTGGTATAGTTGAAGTAGTTTTTCTTCTAGCTCAAACCTCACCTACATATTCATAAGCAAAGGGAAAGTTGTTTACATTTTAGATGTCAAATGGATTATTTCTGCAATTTCTCCAGATTTCCCTCAACACGACGCGCATTTCGAAGGTGGAGTAAGTCAAGAGTCCGCCCAGTGCACGTTCCTCTGTGACTTTTTGTACCAGGCTCCTTCTGCCGCCTCCAAACTCCCTGCAGAGAAAAAGCTGCTGGAAGGTATCTTTCCTGCTCCTTTTAGATTTGGTTACCGATAAAACTGTCTTTCATTATCGAAACAATTAGGTTTACATTTTGATATTTTTTTCCCCTTAAGATATTAGATTTGATCTTGTGGTAGAAAAAATATGTTTTTTTAGGATTTATAAATGCTTCCAGGCACAGATAATATTTCGTGAGCTGCAACAGGGATTTACCACCGGGTTGGGATGCTGAGGGAATTCTCAACAGAATTCACTGATGTCTACCGCAGGGCCTACCAATTCTGTTTCAGGTTTTAAAGGTTATTCCGAAGAAATGTGAAACTCAGCCCCTTCCCTTAGGGACAGACACCCTAACTGGGGAGATAATATAGGTAAATGTGAACACAGAGGAAGAAGTGACAAGTTCTCAGTGCTTATTTTATCAGCATACTAAGTAATATTAGGGAGTTCAGTTTGTTCTGGTGGACTGTGTGTGTGTGTGTGTGTGTATGTGTGTATATAAAATAAAGCTTAAGCATGATTTCCAAATACTGATGGGGATTGATTTGATTCAGCAACCTATATTCTAGGTTTGGGAATTACCTGAGCCGAGGCCCTGTAGGCAGTTATCCATCAGCTCTTTGTGTCAGGCATCTGTTAGGCAGGCATTAGAAATACCAAAATGAAAAAGACACAGGCCTCATGCTCAGGTGACAAATATTTGAACTGATTTTAGAAATACAGCAGGAAACTGTGAGCTCCATCTTCCTGGAACAAAGAGAATGTAAGAGATTAAGCTCCACAGGCCCAGTGACGGTGGGTGTTCCGAGGCCCCGAGCCTGGCATTAGTTCCCTGGGTGCTCTGACCCAGCTCTGTTACTCCAGAAAAGGAACAGTAGGATGAAGAACTCACTTTAAAGTGTTCATCTGGGTTCTTGTGCACTTGAAGCGATTATTTCAGTGTAAATGCTTTATTTCCAAAAAAGTATTTCCTCAAGCAGAATTCTACTGGGATTAACTGGACTTGATTAGGTTTTTCTGAAAACAGTCGCAGCCCTTTAGTAAGGCTTTAGGTATTTACATACATTAATTGTAATCCTCATAAAAACTCAGTAAGACAGCTGATATTATGCTGATTTGCACATGAAAAAATAGAGGAATTCAGCACGAAGCAGTGTTTTCCATCTGAGCTGTGTTATAATTGTTATTGTAGCACTTTGGGCAGTGGCATAGCATTTTTATTCTTTGAATTTAAATGTTTTTGCTTCTTTCAACAATTGGTTTTTATGTCTTCCTTAACTCACCCTAACTCAATAATGAAGGATGAATTTCACAGACATTTTCTCATCTTCTGTTCCTCCTTACCACTGTTTAACCCTTAAATAGTCCAAAGTTGACTGAACAGAAAGGAGACAGTACCTGAATGATCTGTGCATTGACTACAGCAGTTATCTATACTAATCTATATTAATAAAAGGGTAATATGCTAATTAGACCGGATGCCTTCTGGACGACCATCTGGATGTCCTTCCTGACAAAGCCACAGCAGCTGCAAGGGCCGAGGGCCAGTGGTGCAGGAGAGGTGGCGGCTGTGGGAGCGGAGGAAGGCAGCTCTCGCAGCCGAGGCTGTGGGAGCAGAGGAAGATGGCTACGCAGCCCCTTTTGCAGAGGCGGCCCGGGAGAGGCCTCAGCGTGGGCTGGTCCAGCGCCAAGGCCCCTTCCACAGCGGCAGCGGGAGAGGGGCTGTGTGGTCCTGGTCCCAGGGCTGCCCCTTCCAGAGAGGCAGTCACAGAGGCAGTGGCACGGTCCTGGGCCCGGCGCCACACCTGCATGCTGGGGTCCAACCCCAGCGGGTCCAGGGGTCCCCAAAGGTGTGGACGGAGTCGGCGAAGAAGGAATGACACGGAGACAGCGTTCAGTTGATCAGCAGCCTTGCCAGGATCTCTAGCCACAATCTCCAGCCAAGTTCTGTGTCCATGTTCTCTTGGTAGGTTCTCCAGCCAGGTTCTCCAGGTTCTCCAGCCAGGTTCTGTAGCCATGTTCTCTTGCTAGGTTCTCCAGCCAGATTCGGTTTAGGTTCTCCAGCCAGGCTCGGTCGCCAGGTTCTTCAGCCAAGTTCTGTCTAGGTTCCCCAGCCAGGCTCCGCAGCCAGACTCTGTCCAGGATCCCCTGCCATGCTCTCTCCAGCGAAGCTCCTCTGTCTCTAGGCTCCGTGTAGGTTCTGTCTTCTAAATTCTGTCTGTAGGTTCTTCATCTGAGTTCTGTGTGTAGGTTCTAAGTTCTGTCTCTGTTGCCTTGTTACATCTGTATTTATACCAGTTGAGTCAATCCTATCAATCTCTATTCCAAAGGTTAGGGCTTTTCTTATCTCCATTCCAGGGAGTAAAGATTATGTTCTTAAGCATGATTGTTCCTAGTTAAAGTGATTAATTACCCGCCTGGGAGTTAAGAGGTTTTATTCCCTCCCTAACTTCAGGGGAAAATCCCTACCTGGGGAAACAACCTTTCTCGAGTTAAGAGGTTTTATTCCCTCCCTAACTTCAGGGGAAAATCCCTACCTGGGGAAACAACCTTTCTCAGAGAGGTGACCTTGGTTAAAACACATAGTGCCAAGAAGGTGACCAAACATATTAAAAACAGTATGCCATATATGCCAGGTCCCTTGAAACAGCAAGGATGGACCGGCTCCCGGCACCTGCACAGAGGCTGGACGGGGTGTGACCTGCTGTGCCTCAACCTTCCCCAGCCCCTCCCCCAGCCAATCTGGCCCCAGACCACCCCCCCCCACTAGTGGGTGGGGGGGTGGGGCCAGCGCTAATTAGTGTGGGCCGAGAGCTGGCAGCAGAGCAGGGTGATGAAGGCGGTACCTTCCCCTGATCTTCCCAGTCACCTCCTGCAGAGGAGGACATCCCCTAAGGGCTCCTGGACTGTGAGGGGCGGCAGGCCAGGCTGAGAGACACCCACCCAGTGCACGAATTTCCATGCACCAGGCCTCTAGTTAAGTAATAATTGAGTAATAAGACAATTCATGTACTTGCAAATAAGTTTACAAGTTTTCTAGAATGTTTCATCTAAATAGTAGGAGATCCTAGACTTAACTCTTCAAACCATTGTAAGAGGATGAAATAGGAACTTGAAATAGAAGACTTTCTTCCTGAAGCTTTTCAATAAAGCATGAGCACCCTGCAGGCTAAAAATAAGATTACTTATTTTTTGACAATTGTGGTTAAACTATTTATAGACTTCCTTGAAATATGGTTTGATTTTTTTCTTAATCACTTGAGGACTGATGTTTTAAACTTTAACTAAATCATTGTTTCCTTTTATCTTTTAAAATTAATTATAGATATTTTTGGTTAAAATTTAAAAAATAGAAACTAGTGCATTCTCTGCGCAATTTAATTAGGGATGTTTTCTCATTTTGGAACAATCTCTTTTAAAGAATATGAAATTGAACTTTTATACTTTGGCTATGTAACACACAGAAATTATTGTATTGGATATAATCTCCTGGCAGGGTATTCTTTGATCATCTTCTTTTCTTCCATCCAATATTTCGGCAAGGTCTCTCATTTCAAACTCAAAATGGGTTATGAATCCTTTGGCTACTCTCCATCTCCCCTCAGAGCCTAGCCCCGGCACCATCATGCCCTCCCTGGGCTGTTACAGCCTCCCTATTTGTCTGCCAGTACCTATTCTAGTTCCTTCCAAACCATTCTCCAAAAGCAGACTCAATGTTTATTAAAAATGTAAAGCAGATCATGTACTTCCATTGTTCAAGTACGTTTAGCAGCTTTCCATCCCAGAATATGTTCCTTCCTTTGCTGCATCATGCCTGGCCATTCTGGTTTCCTGTCTGTTTCTACAACCTGCCTGTTCTTTTATGCCTCCCTTTGCAATCGCTGTTTACTCTGCAAGGAGGCCCCTCCCCATTTTGGCTCCTTGTCCTCTTTCAGGGATCAATTCAGTGCCACCTACTCAGAGAGGCCACTTTGGCACTTTGCTAAAGTTTGTGCCCACTTCCAGCTCTTCCTTTTGTAGTCTGCCACTTACTTCCGTCTTAGCACTTAGTGCATGAAGGTGATTCTCCTTCAGTGATTTGTTTCTCTTTCCTTCTGGAGGGAAAGCCCAACGAAGCATCAGCATTTTCTGGTTTATTTGGGATTATCAAATCTTTGGTGCCTAAAACTGTGTCAACACATAGTAATCATGTGATAGCTACTTGTCCAATAATGACCATTTCTCTAGTCACAGTACTACCAGTGTAAAAGTGTAAGTGACTTGTTAATGTTTTGTTTTTCCCCTGTGTACAAACATGTATCATTGCTGGCAAAAAAAAAGCATATTTTGTTCAGGAAGAGCCTACTTAAGAATGAAGAAGAAATGGGGGTATAAGGACACATATGTAATACCTTAATCAATAAAAATAAAAAAGAATGAAGAAGAAAAAGTCGAACTACCAAGAAGCATAAAGTTCTGGTGTTTTTGTTTTTTCCTTTCTTGCTTTGCCCTCAAGATCCTGTAGTGGTGTTACTCCTATTGAGCGCCAGCTTTATGGAAAGATGAATTATTCGGAAAGATTTAGAGATTAAAGTGTGGTTGCCACCTTGGCCTCTGAATGGCAAGCACCTGGGCCGCACCACTCCATCAGTGCTTGTCCGGACGCCATGGGGCAAAATGATTAAAAACCAAGAAAAAGCCAGGGAACAAAGTGCATGCGGCCCTTCAGAGAGTTACGGAGGCTTCAGACTGTCAGCTCAGGTGTTCAGGGTTTGAAGTTCTTCTAGCCTCTGGTTATGAAGACTGATCTGTACTTTTCTTTTCCTTCTCAATTTAGTGTTCATGGAAAGAAAGATTGATAGCTCCTGTTAAACCTAAGTACAGAGCTGAAGAATAGCATCCTGCCTTTGTTTTCTGTTTTCTCTCCTCAGCAGTATTTTTTCCTTTTAGCATCTTACTTTGATTTGTTGACACAATGTTTGATTCCTTTTTTTAAAAAATCCTCACCTGAGGATGTTTTTCCATTGATTTCTAGAGAGAGAAAGTGGAAGGAACATTCTCTCTTTAGAGGGAGAGACGCAGAGAGAGAAACATTGACATGAGAGAGACACATCGATTGGCTGTCTCCCAGATATGCCCGGACCAGGGCCAGAGTCTAGCCTGCAACTGATGTACATGCCCTTGAATGGAATCGAACCTTCCGTCTGTGGGCCAATGCTCTATTCACTGAGCAAGACTGGCCAGTGCCAGTGTTTGATTTCTTAAAAGGAAGTCATTGATAGGGTTTACTATTAGAAACTGTATCATTTATTTATATTTAATTTCATAGATTAGCATTGAGGATTTTTGATGATGTGTTAAGTGCCTAGCTTGTGTAGTTTTTAAAAGTTTCTTCAAGGCTAAAACACATTTGCTTAAAATGAAAAGGATACCTAGTGTGTATTCTTAGTTTCAGTGGAAGCTGAATACAATCAGGTTAGGAAATTCTTCATGAGGAAATGACTTATTTACGCTTTCTACAAATAATAGTTTTACCTGAATTATCTCAGCCTTATTGTGCACATAGGTGTTAGAAGGTATGACCTCCACTCTACCCTAACACATTAAAAATGGGCGTATGTGCTTCAGAGGTGTAACAGGCTCCGAGAGGTAGCATGTGAAGTAATCACGACCATAGCTTCACAAGCTGACCGCCTGGTTCACCTCCAGCCCTGATGCTAAGCCCTCGTGTGACCTGGGGAAAGTCAGTGGGCTGCTTTGTGCCTGTCTACAGGAGACCAGGAAGGGGTTTGTCATAACATGAATGGCCTAAGAGGGCTGTTCTAGGACTCAGTGAGTTAGTGAACATAAAGTGTGTAGAAGAATGCATGGCACGGAAATGTGGTGATGAGGGGACCATGAGGAGGAGGCGGAGCAGCAGAGGGGCTGCTTCCGGTTTACAGTTGGCCCTTGAGTTTAGATATGTTCTCCCGGCTGTAGGTGACAGCCCAGGTGTCAAACTGTGGTATCCATATCACTCCACAGCCGCATTTCAATAGATCTCCTCCGGAGTCCTTTACCTGTGCTTCAGGACATTCTAGTAATGTTTGTCTTCCCTGGTCTAAACATTAGGATAGAATAGGAGTCAACAGCCCCTCCAGTCAGTCCAACCACTGTCCCCATGGCCTCTTATCCGTTAAGCAGCTTACATTCTTAGGGTTATTCGTTGAGAGTGGCCCCTGCTTTGTTTCTGGTGGATATCTTTGAGTAAGTGAATAACAGTAAGACTACTTCTGTAGCCAACAAGGTGTCATGGATGGTATCGACATTTTTCAAGGTCATAGTCTGCAGACTGTGTCCAAATTGGCCTACGCAGAACAATGCAATCCAACGTAATTTTGTTAAAGCTTTTCCTTGCTTCCCAAATGAATAGGAATGTCAAGATTTGCTATCCCAGCTTTGTCATTATAAATCCTCAAAGGTAATATCTCTGCCTCCCTTGTCTGACCTCCGGCCCGTTTTCCTTATACCAGTAAAATGAAGCTAATCAAGGGTAGTAGTGATGATAATGCAATAGAACTAGATCTCCGTAAACCCATATTTCTAACTGGAAATGAGTTTGTACTCACCTTTTTAAAGAGCCCTGTCATTTGTTTCCCATTGAAATTTGCATAATTAGATTCCTCATTTATATTTATTGTATGCATCATGTATTTGGCACTTTTTATTTAAGATTGTCCAAGGGCTCCCACTTGTGTGCTGAGAAAGGCACGAACTCCTGAACACCTGTCATGTGAGGCTCCGGGGGCCTGGCCTCTGCCTTGAGCCTGCAATCTTGCTTCCCTTTCCCAGCTTCATGTGTAACCTGAGTCTCTGGCCAAATCAGCTTTCAGCACTGTCCCCTTCCTGTGACGTCCCAGAATTATGGAATGACTGCAGCTCAGAATGCATTTTTTGCTGCTTTAGAAACATGCCTTTTCAGTCACAAATGACTATTTCAAAAGCTTTGTTTTCCTATGAAATTTTTCTTTTCGCTTCAGACTGAGGTGGCTTCCCTCCGTGAATGATTCACAGCTGAAAGGGCCCACCTGATGGTTGTTATTCCAAACACAGCTCCCCTTCGATTGGATTACAAACTGCCTAAGGCAGTGGTTCCCAACCTTGGCTGCACATTAGAATCACCTGGGAATCTTTTTAAAATCCTGATTTCTGGCCCCACCCCATAACAAAGAAACAGAATTTCCGGAGGATGAGGCCCAGAAATCAGGATTTTGAAAAGATGCCCAGGTGATTCTAATGTGCAGCCAAGGTTGAGAACCACTGGCCTAAGGACTGGGTGGAATTCCTAAAATGTGCCAGTGATCAGCTGAGTACTGAATAAATGTACATTTTGTGCTTTATTCTCCATGAATTTATTCTAGGCATCTGAGTACATTGTTTCGAAATCATTTCCTAACTCCAATTGATAAATTCTTTAACTTTTGTTTTTCTTATATTTTAGAAATCTACAATAAATACTCATTTAAACATAATGGCCTTTTGTGACTTCCATGTAAGTGTGCAGAGGTATATGTTCTCTGTGACTCAGAATTTGAGGCCCCGGAACAGTATATCAGGGATTGATTGGGTCTTGGTTAGCTTCCTTCCCAGGACCCATAAAGAAATTCTTGGTGCTGTCTTCTCCTGCCAGTTTTCTTCTGTTGGTTATGATTCAGCTTTTCATTTGGCTGTCAGTTTCTCAGAATTCAGTGACCCTACAGCTCTCAGGGGTCTACCTTGGGAGTATTTCTCCTTGTGCCTGTGTTTGAGGCTAAACACTCTTATTTTTCTTTTTTGTCCTACTTCTCAAAACTACCCCACCTATGATATAGGGAAATTTAATGAATGACAATACATATTTCTTTAACTTTTAATTTTTAATTATTGTAACATAATTTCAGACCTACAGAAAAGTTGCAAGTATAGTACAAAGAATTCCCATATAGCTTTCAGCAGACATCCCAAATATTAGCATTTTACCTGTTACTCATGGGCATTCATATCCTCAGAATTGCTTGATGCCTTTTTAGTCCTAGGTACCTTAGTCCGTATTTCTTCAAAATAAAGGCATTCCTCTGAAATATCCACAGTACGACGATCAAAATTAGGAAATGTTTGGATCTACAGACAGATCCTCTTGATTACCTCATTATGAGGACCAACTGACATTTTTTCAGCCCTTATTTTATGAGATCTCTTTGCTTATTTATTAGCAGCAATCATTCCTTTTCTAAATACTCGACCCCTTTTCTATCTTATACACTGTCTCTTCTCATTTGCTTCATTGCTTTCATGGACCCCTCTATATCTGCTACTATATATATAATTATTATTTTTAATTAAAGTATAGTTGACAACTCTTTACAATTTTAATTTCCCTAAGATTGTCTCCTTGGTTACTTATGTTTTCAAATACTACCTACATTCTATAGACTTTCTAGTTACCAAGATCTGTGTTTGCTCCAAGATGCAAATCCATAGGGTAATTACCTAATATATATCTCTACTTGGGTTTCCAAGATATCTCTAACTCAGTGCTCTAAAAGGAAATTTATATTACATGCACTAAAACTCTATACTTTTTTTTCTTTTAAATAAAGGTAGATATCACTGTCTGTTTTGTAATCAAAGCTAAAAATAATGTCACCATTAATTAGTTCCCCCTCATGCATCCAATCAATATATGCTTATGTCCGTAGAACACAATGCATGTGCTCATTTCTCTCTCCCTCCTCCCCTTCTCTCTTTCTCTTTTCTTCTCCCTACTACACTCCCACTGGCCTGCTTTGGGCTCTTTTCATCTCACAGATAGACTTCTGTCAACACTATCCTAACTAGTTTCCTGCCTCTGGCCTCACCTTCTCAAATTCATTTTCACAGTGGGCAGAGTCTGTAAGACTCAAATCTGATGCTAATCCTCTGCTGAAACATTCTAATGGCTCACCATCAACTACAAATCAAAACGCAGCAGACTTCTGAAAAGTAGTATTTTGAGCTTTGCGGGCGAGATAGTCTGTGCCAGGACTCAAATCTGCCTCTGTAGCGAGAGAGCAGCCACGGATAGTCTGTAAATGAGTGGGTCTGGCTGCATTTCAGTGACACTTACTTACACAAACAAGTGAGGGCTTGGATTTGGCCTTTTGGCCTCTGGGTCATAGTGATGAATTTAAGTCTCTAATTAAGGCATTAAGGGAACTCCATGCTCAGACCCCTTCTTCCTCTGCACACCTGAGGTCAGCCATAGTGTTACTTTTCAAGTCTATGTGGACCTCTGTCTTTGCCGTTTCAGTGTTTTTTGCAGCTGTCCTTTTTGGCTCTGCCTGATTCACTGGTCATCAGTGTCATAGCTATTTTTGTTTTGTATAGCCCTTGCTCCCAGATTGTTAATATTTTGAGAGCAGAGTATGACAACTTTATATGTCATGAGCCAAGAGCATGCTCTTTACACAGAATAGAAAATTAGCAGGTTTATTTGAATCCACTCATTATTTAAACCGTGTATTTTTTTTAAAAAAAATTAGAGTTGTGATGCAGTTCAGTTGTTTGTTTTGTTTTAAATTCTTAGAGACAAATAAAAAGTGGTGTGTTTTGGAAGGAGGTTTCCTGAGTTACTATGAAAATGACAAGTCTACCACTCCCAACGGCACCATTAACATCAGTGATGTCATCTGCCTGGCTGTGCACAAAGAGGACTTCTATATAAACACCGGGTAGGTCTGTCACTCCACGGGCAGGAGGTAGAAGCATGTCTGGTATCTGTCACACCAGGTAATAAGTGTTCTAAGGACATTGTGTTCTAAGGACATTTGTTATTTCGGTTCTTCCATTGCTTATTATGGAAGGGTTAAGTGGATTTTTGAAGCCGACTCATTTTGCAGCTTCTGAAAGTTCCTTAGGGAATTCACTAAAAAGAGAAAATTAAAATATTGCATTAGGTAATATGAAAGGCTGACATGTTTGCATCTAATCTTAAGTAAATTTACAGTAATTCCTTCATGACATATAGTCCTATAATTTTTATGACATACTCATTATTTAAAGTAGTGGACTAAGGGCAAAATTTATGCATCCCTTTAAGGCACCATGGTTCAAATAGGTGACAAAGGAAAATATCTGTTGATGATTTATTCATATTAATATCAGCAAAATACTAAGTATATATAGTAACATATGGAAGTGCTAAATTTCTTAAAGATCTACTTTGACATTTTAATTGTCTCAGAAAGTTTGCAATTCTAAGAGTAAGCATTATTTAATATATCGTCTCACAGATTAGTTAAACAGAAATTTCTATGAGGACTTTTAGAAACAGCATCAAAGATCTTTGTTGTGGAAGTTACTCATCACATTTTGTGATGAAATTAATGAAAAAATACAAAAACCAAATCTGCAAAAGTTAACTATAAAGGAGCATAGTATTTAATGAAAATTCTGTATAATAAAAAAAAGAGATTTGCAAAGCTTTTTCCATTACATGATATTACATGAAACATTTTTAAGTAATGATCAATATATTCTAGTTGAGGTGACTGTTGTTTTCTAATCTAGTTTGATTTTTTATGCAAACAAAATTGATTATTAGTTGATTTGTTTGTTTTTTTAATTTAACAGAGCTTTTATCCTAAGTGAATTATCAGTTTACTGTGTCTTATTGTGGAATGTTAAAATAAGTGCATTCAATGCATTCAGATACTTAATTAGTAAATAAAATAAAATTTAAAATAACATGAGTTTATGTCAGCATATAGTTATTTAAAAATAAAACATTCTTGGTAGAATGATATTGATACAAATAGATGCTCAGGAGAAAGCAGCCAGATTCTGAATTGCTTTAAGTAGCATATTACAGAGTTTGAACTCAGTAATGTAGGCACTGAGGGTTAAGCAGTTTTGGGAGAAAGCTGGCCACAGTGGTAAGGAAGAGTTTAGAGGAAGAGGGATCCTAATTACCGAGAGTTTAACTAGAGGAAGAGATGATTAAAAAAGTGGGTTGAGAAAATATTATGATTGATCTGATAAGATTAAAAGTCTGATTAACCATATGAAAAACTGACGGTAAAGGGAAGAATAAATTAAACGAGATGGTTTTGAGCTTATTGATGAGGTAAATTGGAACATGAGGGATATGTAACAGGCTTTGGGGAAAAAGGAAGATCACTATATGATATAGGGTATTTTGAGGTCTTTAGGTAATAGCATACACGCTTAGCATGTTCCATGAAATAGTTTAAGTTGTGGATGAGAAACCAAGGGAAGAATTCAGGACACAGGGACGTTACTCGGATTTTATCTATAGGCAGGAGCTGACATTCACATTTACTCATTTGAATAAAATACATACCATCAGCAGAAAACTGCGAGAGATTGATTTCACAGCATTATCCAGTTTTCAGAATGCATTTAATGAAAAAAACTTGACATTCATGTGATTTGTTTTCATAAGAGCCGAGCATAACCGGCGGTATCGTTTTATTCGTGTGTGCCATAGGCCCATCTTCACCTTTGAGATCTATTTGCCCTCAGAACGTGCGTTTTTATTCGGAGCTGAAACATTTCAAGCCCAAAGAAGATGGACAGAGGCAATAGCTAAGGTATTTAAAGGTTGCTTTATTCCCCTAAACCCAGAGAAGTTTCTCAACTTGGGGACTATGGTTGAGCTTTAGAGGTCCACGAAAATTTTATACATGATTCTGGGAAGAATGTCCATACTTCATTAGGTTTTCCAAGGTTATAATCAAAGAGGTTAAGGGCTACCTTCCTAGAGCCCTAAGCAGAGAAGAAATTAATATCGGACCCCGGGGAAATTATTCTTCAAATAAAGGTCATGTTTTGATGATTAAGATTTTTTTCATCATTGTAAAGTCGTTTCTGCGAATGTCTTTTTATTAGTAGTTACCTTACTCATGGTATACAAAGGGGAAATGGCAGATTCAGTAAAAGATGCAAATGAAGACAGTGAAGGCTGACATTTTGGAAAGTATCACACATCAACAGAGAGAATGTCTTTCTCTTTCAATTCTATATTTATGGAGAAAAACGATTTAAGACGTTGCTGCTTGAATCTGCGTTAGTAGCTATTCACCTTTAAGATTGAGAGCAAGTTAAAAAAGTTATTCTGAAATTTAGGTTACTTCTAAATCTTTAAGATAGAAAATCAAAGATAATTTTCCTGCCTTCCCTCATATCTGCAGGTAAGGAAGGGATTTCCTATATTCACTCTCTTTCTTACTTTTCTGTATTTGTTTTAACAGCAGTTTGTTCCCTATTTTGCTGAAAACTTAACACAAGCTAATTATGATTTGATTGGCCAACTCTACTACAAAGACTGCCATGCCCTGGATCAGTGGAAAACAGGCTGGTTTGCTATGGACAAGTCTAGTTTGCGTTTTTGCCTTCAAACGCAGGAAGTTCAGGAAGACAGAATGAACTTAAGAAGACTGCAAGAGCTAAGTAAGATTTTTTGCCCTCATATTTTGGACACAATTTTTATTGCATATGTTAATAGTATCTTTTACATAAAATTATATGAGGACTCACTCCAAAATATATGACTAAGGAGTATTAATAATTGTGTCTTTCTGTGTATTTAGTGGGTATTTAGTAAAATGTTCTTAAGAAATGTGTTGCTGTTTTTCTCTTCTCCCTCTAGCTATCAGCACAATGGTTCAAAATGGGGAAAAAGTGGATATTTTGCTCTTGGTAGAGAAAGGGAGGTAAGTGCATTTTTGTCTTTGACTCTTTAATAACTAGGGAGTGGGATATTCTGTTTATCTCCTTGGGGGAGAATCCATAATTTTATAGCCTGCTAGACATTTTATGAATTGTGTGTGTGTCTGTATATATATATTTATATACTCTTCAGTAGAAAGAGTATATGAGTGAAGCTCACATATATTTTTGTATTTGCTATGAGAAACTCAGTAACACTAGTTATTATAATTTTCTGTAGATCTAGATGCCTTTGGGACATTCACATTTAAGCATTTGGAAGCACTTCGGTAGTTATAAATATATATTTTCAGTGTAGATATGTGAGAATAAATAATATCCTGAAGTATTTTTGCATGTGATTCATGCATAGCTAATTTATTCACTTTTTTCAATAAATACAAAGCATCTACTGTGCATCAGGTAACTGTTGAGGATATGGTGATGAATAAAATAGACAGGGTCCTTGCCTTCATGAAGCATGCACACTAATGGGGGGAACAGAAGAGAAACAGAAAAGAAAATTACATTTTATTGTGTCCATAAATTTTAACTGGCTTAAAGCAAACTGAAGAGAGAGCGGCTGATGGAGAGTGTTCTGTTTTAGGTAGGGGTAAGGGTAGGCATCTCCTCCATAAAGTGAAGACGCAAACCATGCAGCAGTCTTCACAATGTTCCAGGCATCAGGTCAAGGCTATTTTGAAGACCCTAGTGCATTGTGCTTGGCATTTTCAAGGTCCACAAGGAAGCTACTGGGGAGATTTGAACGAACAAGAGAGTGGGAAGTAATGATTTCAGAGATACTCCTGGGCCAGATTCTATAGGGCCTTACAGGTCATTATATGTAACGTGATGGAGCCTTGGTGAATGCACCTCATTTTGGAGGCGGGGCAGTTGTCAGGAGGAGTAGCTATCCTGGAATATTAAGCTAGTTTACCCAGGGAGTGAATCCAGAAACCAAGAGAGAGTGTCACAAAACCTAGAAAGGGCATTTCAAAAAGGAAGAAAGAGTCAGAAGCGTCCAGTACTGCCTGATGAGGACAGATACTCCCTGAGTAAGTGGTACGGATTGCACCTGCTGACTTTGAGAAGCGCAGAGGTGAGAGAGCAGAAACCGGGTTAGGTGCAGGCTAGGAACAGAGTACACGGAAACAGTTAGTGAGGTTAGTTTGCCAAGGAAACTGGAGCTTATAGGATTATCAAAGTAGAAGGGATTTGACCTAGAAAGGGAATGTGTGTGCCGTTTGTTTTTAGATGGCTTGGACTTGTCCAGCTTTAAATTTGGATGGGAAAGAGACACAAAGGAGTCAACAGTTTAGAATTCAAGCATGAAGGCTTATATAAAATTTAATTCAGGAAGGTTCAGGCTTATTCAGTAGTGTGCCATGTTTTGTTATGGGATTACATATACATTTGTTAGCCACCTACGAACTTAGAGGGTTTTTTTTCCCCCCGCAAATAGTAGTCCCAACACGTTAAATCAACTTTTCACCAAAAAAACCCACCAGACTTTGTATATTGAATTTTGAGTGATGATGGTTTTCAATTTTAAAAGTAAGAAAAGGGCCCAGATAGTACAGACTTTGGTCATAACCCAAAATTTCAAAATAGTTTGTGATTCAAATATTTATCTGAAGATAAATGATTTCTAATATGGTGACCTTCGCCTCAACTTCCAATGGATCCTCTCTCACATGGCCATAAGAGAATTTTTTTTTGTCTCGACCAGTCTTTGAAACCATAGAGATAAGACTGACGTTTAATACTTATAGTTTCAGAAATACAGCTTATTCTATGTTGGTTAAAGTTTTATGATCCTTTTCTTAAAAAAAAAGAGAGAGAGAGAGAGATGGAAGGTATAAGAGAGGACAAGAGAACAATTATAACAGAAGGAGAACTGGAATTGATGAGTGGTTTTGATGTGGGTAGCTTTCTAGATTTGGTGGTAGGATATTGAGAGAGACACCAGTCTGATGGTGTTCAATTCCTTGTGAACTAGGAGGTAAGGTGACTCCTAAGCTTTTGGCCTGGGTGACTTTACGAATGGTTCTGTCGTTAGCCAGATAGGGAGTATGTACTTCTCTCCCACCACTCAAACAAGCCCATTAATTATAGGCGTGATGGTTTAAGAGCTGTTTTAATGTCATGTTCAAATAAGAGAATTTCATTGCAGGGCCCTCTCTCTCATCTCTCTTGTGATCTATTAGCCCCTTGGGAAATAACGCGTGTTAAAGTAGATTGTGTTAGACTTGTCAATGACAGATAAAATTGTGGCTTTAGGAAATAAAACAACTTGCAATTACTCATGTTGATGACATATAGAGATAGTGAATAATTGAAAGAGCAAGAAACCAACCAGCTGTAAGTTTTAAACTTTTTTTTTTGCTAGTAACTGCTAGAACCGGAATAGGAAATCATAAGTAAATTTAATGAATTAATTTCACATTTTCCCCTTGTCCTTGTCTACCTTTGATTAAAGTGATAAAATATATTAATGTTCCTTAAAGGCAAGGAGGAGAAAGAACCCTCTGAACTGGAACAGTTCATAAATTGATAATCATGCACTGAATAGAGTCACTATTTAGATATATATTGTAATCTTCACGGTCATTTTCTCTATATGCAGAGCATGAATGCCTTTAGACAGAAAAATATTGCAATAATATTTTCCACATACAGAGCATTTTTGCTCTAAAAAGCTCTAAACAGAAGGTGTTCCAGATGGTGTCGCTTTAATGGGTATTCTTTGTATACTTTAAACATTATTATTTTGGAAAAATAAAGCTTTCTTGATTACACTTAGGGGTTTCTGGCACACTCTTTGGTGCTGTTACCAGGACTGGGTCCTGTGCTTCTCTGTTACGCCTCAGTCAGAATTGCTGTATGAAAAAAAAAAATCATGTTTCTGAATATCTATTGTTTTTCAGTGACTGTTCTAGATCACAAGGTCAGAAGGCATTTTCTTGGACAGTAGGTTATATATTCACTTCAAGTTCAGTATTTAGTAGATTACAACATCCTTTTCTTAAAATTTAGAAATGATTTCTGCACTTTAGCCCACACTTCCGCATATCCCTTTCTAATAAATAAGCTCCTGTGTTCACCATCTTCACATTTCATAACTGTATAACCATTTGTCAAACACACCTAATATTAAGCTTTTACTGAAAGGTTGTTGGTTGCAATAAATACAGTAAACATGAATGAGTAACTCATCTGTGTTATCAGAAAGAGAAAAGACTGGTGTGTTTTCACTTTGCTTTGCTGTTTTTTTAATCCTCACCTGAGGTTATTTTTTTCATTGCTTTTCAAAGAGAATGAAAGAGAGGTGGGAGAGAGAGAGAGAGAAACATCCCTGTGAGAGAGACACATGGACTGGTTGCCTCCCGCATACATGGGGGGTGGGAGGGTGGCAGGTGCTGGTAGCAAACGGCAACACAGGTACATGCCCTTGACTGTGAAGTGAGACACTCTAACCGTGGAGCACACCGACCAGGGCATGTGTGTGTGTGTGTGTGTGTGTGTGTGTGTGTTTTAAGATTCCTTGGTTACCTATAGTAGAGCATAAAGCATTTAATGGTTCCAAAGCCTGACTGCATTCACTTTTATTGGCAAATTCCGGACATAAAGAAAGCATTATTGGGGAAAACACGTTATATCTATATGTTCCAAATTATGAAACAGACTACTTTTCTCAATTCAGAAGATTAACAACCTAAGTTTAAGGCTCTTATTTCATATCAACTGACTCCATGTGATATTTTTCCCTCCTTGAGTTGTGTTTTCTGGAAGCTATGTTAGCAATACTCCAGAGGGTGAATTATCCTAAAGTGGTTTCTAAATTGTGCATGTAATTGCAAATTAAACAGTAGCCGATTGCCCACAATATCAGCTTGACTGCTTTTATAACTTTCTGATGATTTAATTCAAAGAGATGCTTTAATTTGAATGTTGCCAAGGTAAACAAGAGATTCTCTTTTCTTACCACCCCCCACAGGTTTTACAAAACAGAAGAGTATTCCAATTTACATTATGAAGTGATTTTCTTTTTGTTTTGTTAAAGGGAATACAGGACTAACAAAAGGTGGATTTTAAAGTATATATTTGCTTGAAAATTTATTTCGATCAATTCAAAGCCCCTTCTGTATACTAAAATGTAAGCATACAAATATGAGATACGTGAAAAACAAAAGGATGCGCCGTCTGGGCTCCATGCCCATCTGCATATTTTCAGGGTGTGCTGTGGGTTGAACAATCCCAGAGCATAGGCAGTGTTGGGGTATGTGTAGAGATCCCTTCCATCCATGCTAGACAGCCCTCATTAAACACAGAGGGTGTTAATAAAGACCCCACAAAAGTAACTCTGTATAGTGGAAAGGCCAAGCCAGCCTCAAAGTAAAGGCTGCTCTATTTCTACCCAGCTAAGCTTTACACCTCTGAAAGATCAGCTGCTCTACACGTAATGCAGTGCCCAGGGTCAGACAGGCACAGGATGTTCTCACAGGCATCAACATCTCTAAAGGAAGACAACACAATCCGGACACTCCAGTTAACATTCCTAATGTCTGGCATATCATTAAAATTACTAGCGAAGTGAAAAAGCTGCAAATCAGTTGGTAGGAATTGACCCAGAAATGAGAAAGGTAATGGAATTAGCAAATACTCTAAGCAGTGATATTTACATATTTTTTATTACAAATATTTTCAAAGATGTAAAGGAAAATATAAACAGTAGCAAGAAACAATATGGGTAACTAAAAACTGAACAAATGGAATTTATAAAGCCAAAGAATAGGGCATCTGAAAAAATTTCACTAGATTGCCTTGACATAAGAGTGGACTCTGTAAGATTAATAAACATGAAGGCATGACAATAGAAATGATCAAATTTAAGCACAGAGACATAAGACTAAAATCACCAGAGCCTCAGTGGCCTGTGGGATAATAACAAGCAGTCTTAGTATAATTGGAATCGGAAAATGAGAGAAGAGAAAGATGGCTAAAAAAAATCTTTGCAGAAATGTGACCAAACATTTTCTGAATTTGATGAAAACTCTAAACCCACACGTACTAAAACCATCATATCTCAAGCATGATAAAGCAGACCACAGCAAGACACATCGTAATCAAATTCCAGAAAACGCGTGTGAGGAAAAAAAGTCCCAGAGGAAAATACACATTAGACATAGGACAAAAGATGAGACTGTCTTGTTAGAAACAGTGTAAACCAGAAGGTAGTGTAATGAAATCTTTTAAATTGCTGGCACACAAAAAAGGAAAAGAAAAAGAAAAGAAAACAACACCTCAAAACCAGCAGCTGTTAACCTAAAATACTCCATTCAGCAAAAATCTCTCTCAGAAATGAAAGGAAAAGAAAGCATTTGTGGACCAAATAAATGCTGTTATACTAGAAGATTCAGTGCTTTTATTTTTTTTATAAATGCTTAGGATATTATCTGTTCAGTCATGTTTGTGGAGTCTGTTATTCGCTTTTTAGAATTTTTTTATACAAATTTATTGATTCTGTTATTTGTGAAGACACTTCTGATTCTTGTCAGTAGACTAGGCTCAAGTACGATAGCCTACACTTTGTGGTTATTATATTGTGATTTTGAGAAGATTGTTTTTATTCGTCCTGGCACTTGGTTTCTGGGTCTTACTGAACTGATTTGATTTGTTATAGGATATAGGGATGTTTCTCTATATGACTTTGAAGTACCCTTTAACATTTTATGCTTGGGCGGTGGCCAATTAGAATAATTCTCTCTATACCAGTACTTAGAATTCTTCAGAATTACTTTTCAGATGCTGAAGATATAAATGAATGTTTCTTTGGAATTCTTATCCAGAAAGGTAGCATGGTTGTTTTGTGACACTTGGAGTCACAAACTCCACCAGCATTGGTGCTGAAAATACCTTTGATGTTTTGTTCGGTGTGCACAGAGTTTAGAGAAGCATCAGAGAGGAAAGTTGTTGGACTGATGCAGTTCAATGTCAAGCATCCGCTGCACTAGATGATATATTTAAGGATTCAGTCCTTGACAGGTTGACTCAGGAGTTGTCATTTGTTCTAACCCTCACTAGTTCACAAGCAGACAGCTCAACCTGTCATCATAGGATTTCTTCTTACTACAGAGGAGTTTGACGTTTGGAACATTCACCGTTGATGCAGAATTACAGTGGTACTGTAGGAGGGCTGTTGCATTTTGGATGTTTCACTGCTTGCTGAAATACTCACCCATTGAAGTACTTTTTTTAAAAGCAAACAGTTGTAAATATTTTATGTTAACTATAGAGCTTAATCATGAGATTAAAACTCAAAAAAAGGTAAAATTTTCTCTTTCACAACTCCTGAATTTAGCAAGATGTTATGTTAGTTAGGTCAAACAGTGTAGGGGCTTGATATTTCTCAGGAAGATTAGCTGAGTGATACAGTTTCATTTAGATAAATATACCAAGCAATAGAATGCTTTCAAGCTAACGATAATGTGTAAGGTAAACGAAAAGGAGAAAGCATGTCAGGAATATTAGAGTGGCAGAATTCTTCAAAAAGAAAATTACAAACCCTGGAGGTCAGGTCTGCTGTAGTGATGTGGGAAAATAAAAACAATATATAAAGAAAGCGAGAGATGGAGACTGCGGACATTACTGAAGGACCTGTAGTTACAGCGAGTCCAGAAGTTGTGGATGTAAGCGTGGTGAGGTGCCAGTAACTTTTGTCTTCTTAGGGGAGCATTTCGAGAAAAGAAACCAAAGGATAAAAGGCCTTTTATTTTCTGGTTAAATTAAATGAGGGCCCATCTATTATCAGGGAAGTAAAAGACTACCCTCCCCCTGAAAATGAACAACAAGCCACAGCAACTCAGAGTTTGTGCAGTTGATGCCTTTCTCTTTGTTTGAATCCCAAGTAGCCCTCTTACAGTTTGAAATGGAGATTAAATCGTTTTACTTTGGTGTGAATATACTTAAATACATCAGTGCAGATACTTAAATAAATCCGTTTTTATATCTAGGGCTTTAAAGCTATTATGTACCTACTAAATGTCAGATGCTCTGCTAATGACGACAGATACTGAAATGCTTTCCTTGGTCGCCTGCATGATGTTTGGATCTAGCAGCTGAAATATTCTCAGACAGGGAGCTGGTGGTGTAATGCAGGGCAGGGGGCCTCCTCAGGATTAAGAGGGGCACCTGTTACCACTAAGCGTTGGGGGGCTATCAGGGAGAGTGTCAAGGAGGATCACCTGGAGTAAACCTTGGGGAAGATTTGGAGTGGCCCGTCAGAGAGCAGGAAATATTTATTATCAAGATAAGGCAGTGTGATTGTTTAGTGTGCCCTGAGTGTAGGGCAATGGCAAAGTTGAAGGGGAATTATGGGCCAGACCATGAAGGCCTTTTAATCTTGAAAATTCCAGAGCTATAGACGAACAGTGACCAAGAAGTGACATCATTAGCGTGGCATTTCAGAAAGATCATTCTGGCAGCCCCAAGGAGCAGGGGCCAGGAAGGTGGAGCACCGGGAAAGGAGTTCCATGCAGAGGGTTGTATCGGCTCAGGAGTAATAAAGACCTGAAATACGGCCGCATTGGAACAAAGGGGGCAAAGCGAGTGTGTCAGGGAACCGGAACCAACAGCGTTTTGTGACTGAATTCATGTGGCAGTGACAGGTGGGGGCGGGGACTAAATCTATAGTTAATCCTAAGTTTCTGGTGGGATAAATGGAGTATTGTAGCACCAGTTTGTCGTGAGGAGGTAGAATGGATTGAAATGCTTGTGGCACATTCCGGTGAAGGTGTCCAAAATCGATATCACTTAGTATTACGGTTTATTTCTTAGTTCTTAATACACATTTACCCAGTGCTGAGGCAGAAGCTATTCCCTTGATTGGGCCAGTGATGAACCTGAGGCCCAAAGAAGGTTGATACCTTCTCCCAGGCCACAAAGGAAATAAGTGCAGAGCTAAAATTTGAGTTCTAGAAGTGATTGGATTCCCCACTCAGCTGTTTTAAGCTTTTAAATATATATATATTGATTTCAAAGAGGGAGAGGGAGAGAGAGATAGAAACATCAGTGATGAGAATCATGGATTGGCTGCCTCCTGCACCCTCTCTACTGGGGATCAAGCCCACAACACCAGCATGTGCCGTGACTGGGAATCAAACCCTGACCTCCTGGTTCATACGTCAATGCTCAACCACTGAGCAACACCAGCCAGGCTGTTTTAAGCTTTTGCTTTTTTGATTACATAGAGATCTGGTTGGTAAGACAAAATTATAGCCTGGCGATAGGGACTGGGGAGTTAACCAGTTTACATACGGGGACTGAAACCACTGTCCCAGGAGAGGCCTTGCAGTTCATGTGAGTTCACCGAGGTTACAGCTTCATTCTCAAAAGGAGTAGGTGGGCTTGGAAAAGAATCTGACCAAAAAGATAGGAGGAACAGCCAGAAAGAATTGTGCTACAAAGCCAAATTGGGTGGAGTTTTTTTCCCCTCTCTCTTTTGTTTTTATAAAGAAATGAAATCATATACAGTTCTAAAATCTTGAAAAATACAGCCACATATACCCAATAGAAGTCACTGGTGATGCTTACCAGAACAGTTTCAGTTCATTTATTCAGAAAGAGAATGACAGGGGCTAGGGACTGAGGAGGTGAGATGTTCCCATCATCGTGAACAGCTGTATAGCATTTGTTACGCAGTATGGTACGTATCACCGAGTTTTCATTCAACCCCCAGACTCATGGTATCACTCTTACAGTTTTTAAATGGTACCCATTGGACTGAATGAGAGTCTTTTATGTGTGTTAAGTATATCAGTGAAAATATAAATGTAGTTTCTGTTCAGTGAAATGCCGTTCTTTGCCCAGTAAAATGATATAATGTACTTTAACTATTTTCTGCTTCCTTTACGCGCATAAACATTTAAATAACATATTGAAAGAATGTATGTTGTGAAATGTATATTAAAAATAGGTTAAAGACTGTTTTTCAGATGTTACAAGCCCACGGTGAAACCTAGGGGAATGCAGTGTGCTGCCTCGCCATGTTTTTAGAAGTGGTGAATGCTGGGACAGTATGGGGAAGAATTTTTTAGCAGGCATACCAGTGTGTATGGATTTATTTTAGTTACCGTACTATTGGTCACATGGATATTGATTGTAACCGTTTTGACTTAATTATAACATTTTCTTTGAATACTGTACAAGTAAAAAAGAAAACCCAAACAGCTCGATACCTACATGGTGCAGTTTTATTGATGTGCTAAGGTAGTATTTTAGATATGCCTGAAGAATATAAATATACCTTTATTCTTCATGTTCAATTTCAAATGACTATGTATTCTTCAAAGTCCTTCTTTCTGTTACATATTTCCTTAATACTGTAGAAGATAGAAAAGTCTTAACTACTTTTTTAATATAAAAATATTTCTACTTTTAATTTGCAGATAAATGCCATTGAGTTACATTGTAACGGTAGAAAAGGGTAAAATGATTGGTCTGGTATTTCGGAAGGTGTAGTAACTTTATTTGTTCTCCTAAAATCAGAAATGTGTTTGGGAGTTTTTAATTTGAAAGAGATTATCTCAGTGAGAGAGCTGCAGGGAGACACTGTGTTCCTGGTTCCTTACTTCTTCTTTGGGTGTCTGTTGTGTGCCAGCCGCTGACCTTGGTCCTGGAAATGCAGCCATAGGAGTAGGAAGTTAAAGACAAATCCATGAATCATGTGTTTCTGCATGAGAACTGACAATAAATTGATTGACATGTACCAAAATACCAGAAATAGCAAAAAGAATTTCTGAAAATTGTAACATGTGTATATTAATCTACTTTCTTCTAAGAAGAGCACTATCTTACATGTTTTTTACTTATTTCATATGTAATCCAAGAACAGTTATCATTAATACTCAGATTTGTTGTGTGTTTAAATTATACGTCTAATGTGACTATGTATTTAATCACGTTATGTGGGCATTACTGTGAAGTTTCTTCCCATGGTAATATGTCTATGTATCTTATCAGCTGTAATCATCTGCTTAGTTGGAAATGGGGGAGAAAGGCCGTCATCATCTTCATTTTATTCGCTATTCAGTATTCGTGCACTTGCATTCTGCAGGTGTGACTGAATTGCACACATTGTGTTTTGGCATGAGCGTAATCTCACTGGGAATTTTTACATCGTGTTAGTTTCATAATGGCACAGAGTCTCTCATAAGCTGACAAATGATTAAAATAACTCTACTACCTCCAGTGTATACAATTTCATGTTTCTCTAGGGAAATCAGAAGCTACTTTGTGATGTTTGTTTGAGTTTAAAATCATTAAGCATTAGATTGTTTTCAACTGAATTTCATACATTATGTCTACTTTGTAACACTAACACAAGGTACATTAACTTGCATATTTAAGTAATAGAACCAGCGAAAGACTCTTTATTTTTTTAATGTTTTTAATGAGCAGAACATGGGGAAAACCCCAATCTTATTAGAAAATGTCCAGTGATTCTAGAATGTAGGTGGTCAGCCCAGAGCCTTTTAAGTCACACTTATTTTGAACTTTCTGACTTTTGGGTTAAAATTTAAAGGCCATTTTGTGTGTATGTGTGTGTGTTCATTGTGTCAAGATTTGAACTTGACAGAGTTCACAGTATAACTTTTAGACTTTTACCTTTTTTTAAATAAGTTGCAATAGTTAGTTCTTGGGGAAATTAATTTATGTAATTCACATTCAGTTAACTTATTTGATTACCAGCTATTAGAAATTCACTTAACTAGGAACACAGTATCTCAGAAACATAGTCATTATTGTTTTTTGTAGAATTTGCTTATTCTTGCATTAAGGGGTCACTTATTGAATACCTGCTGAGTCCTTCTAGGCACTACGTAACTACTATCTACAGAGAATAACCAGGACTCTTGCCATCTAGGACTTTACAGATTTGTGGATCAAGGACAAACAAGTGGGCAGTTACATCCCACGTGTACATACTTTTGTGGCAGAGAGACTCTGGGGTTGGTACAGGAATAAACTGCACCCAGAGTAGGGGGTGGGTGTCATGGAGGGCTGCATCGGTGAGGCGGTGCCTACCCTGAGTCTGAAGAGAAAATAGGAGCTTATTAGAAGGTAGAGGAGAAAACAGGGTGTGCCCATGTGTGGAGTCATGAGGGGCATTGTCTGTTCAGGAAACTCTGTGTAGTTAACTGTGCCCAGAACTTGGTGTGAGAAGAGGGGAAAGATAAAAGAGGCAGGAGGGTTAGGAAAATTCGAGTAGGGACTTATATGTTGTAATTAAATCCTCATATTTGCCTTGTAGGCCTGGAGAGGGCATTATGCAGATTTTTAGTCATGTGGTGACACTGATGGATCTGAATCTTAGATCATACTGGCGTTGTCGAGACAGATGGGCTGCACAAGAATACGGTCAGGGAGTTGTAAAAACCTTGTAAGGAACTGAGTGGACAGAATAGCAGCCTGGAGGATGGAAAGAGGGGAGGTCATAATGAAAAATCTATATGACATAGTTGTTCGTTTGTTTTTCATTTTCTAAATCTGGAATGTGAGAAAGAAAGGTTCTGAGTTGGAAAGGATTGGGGAGAAGGCGACGCCATATATCAAGATAGAGGAACAAATAAAGAACAGGTAGAAAAAAATTAAATCCTCATATTTGCCTTGTAGGCCGTGAGAGGGCATTATGCAGATTTTTAGTCATGTGGTGACACTGATGGACCTGAATCTTAGATCATACTGGCATTGTCGAGACAGATGGGCTGCACAAGAATACGGTCAGGGAGTTGTAAAAACCTTGTAAGGAACTGAGTGGACAGAATAGCATCCTGGAGGATGGAAAGAAGGGAGGTCATAATGAAAAATCTATGTGACATAGTTGTTCGTTTGTTTTTCGTTTTCTAAATCTGGAATGTGAGAAAGGTTCTGAGTTGGAAAGGATTGGGGAGAAGGCGACGCCATATATCAAGATAGAGGAACAAATAAAGAACAGGTAGAGGTTGGGAGGTGTAGTAGTGAACGGAGCTGGGAAATTAATTTCTTTGTTTTGATTGGTCCATATGTGTAAGTATGGTATGTGTGTGTGTATGTGAGTGTGTGTATGTATATGGTATATGTTTCTTAAAATGTATTTGTGTGTGTTTGGGGTCTTAGAAATTAAAACCTGGGTGAAAAAGTATATGTAAGTGGTTAAAGTAATGAGGTTAGGTGGGTTTACCCAGATAATTCTGTGGGGAGTGAAGAGCATTGAGTTTGGATTCCAGTTCCCAAAACTTATCACTACATATCACATTAGAAGAAAGCTGAAAGCAATGGCAACATCCAATACGGAAGAAATAAGGAAACCCCAAATGAAAGAATGAGACGTGTCCATCTTCCGAGCACCTGTAGAGCCTTTTCTCTGCCTGTTAGCTCTCTCATCCCGCCTTCGATCTGCTTCCTCATGTGATGGGAAGAGCCGCTATTCTCAAAGGCCGGAGGGCACCAGGCAAACTAATGTTCGTGACAGGCATTGTTCAACAGCTCACTATGCTTTAATTATGTTCAATTTGTAACAATGAAATTGGGGGTCACCACAACATGAGGAACTGTATTAAAGGGTCGCGGCATTAGGAAGGTTGAGAACCACTGATCTAGAAGAAGGTGAAGGTGAGAACAGACAGACATTCATATGCAAATTAATGGGCAGAGGATTGAGGAAATTTATAAGGGGATGCCTCACTTTTGTCAGGGAAAGGGGAGGCAAGTTTTTATCCCAGGAACTAAGCGAAGATAGAGCACTGGCTATAAAAGTGCAATTTAAGAAGATACTATGAACAGCTGGGCAAAGGGCTGACCAGAGCCTTGTTAAAAGTCCAAGATGGAATATTTCATCAGGTTTACCCTGTAAATACTAAAATTAGGGGGACAAGCCTTCCCCCCTCGGACATGTTTATATCAACTCAGGTAATGATTTATTCTTGCTCATCATCCCAGCACAAAAATGTGTTCAAATTTTTAAGGTATCAAAGTGGGTTTTGATTTTAGACTTTTTTTCATATAATCTTTTTTCCTTTTAAACAAAGGTTTAGGGTGCAAATATATCTATCAAAACAGTGGCGACCCTTTGCACGTAAGTGAACTCCTGGAGAGTTTCAGAAAAGATGCCAGAAGCTTTAAATTGAGGGCTGGAAAGCATCAGCTTGAAGACGTGACGGGCGTGCTGAAAAGGTTTCTGTCCGACATCGACGATGCGCTTCTTGCTAAGGAGCTCTATCCGTACTGGATCTCTGCTTTAGGTAACATGTCATGTGTATAATCATAAAGGCTTGTCTTTTAACTGGCTAGCTAGGTTTTTAAACTCTTCTTTGATGATCTGAAGTTTTAATTGGAGGCGAAAATGTACATATGACTCAGAAGAAAAATTCTGTAAATATCAGCAGTGGTTTATATTCATCTAAAAAGGAACTTATACTAATAATTGCTAAGTAATGTTTTATATACTTAGTTTTCTGTGGGTTTCTTAGTTCTTACTCTACTTGAAGTTGGGAAGTGTTATAAGCAAGTCCATGTATGCTATTAATTTCTCATTAAGGTTAGAATGAAAGTTTCAATACAAGGTTGGTTTTCTAAGATTTTCCTTTATGGCTCGTGTGGCTTTTCTGTGTCATTTATTCTTCCTCTTTGGAGTACATAATGACAATTTTTTTACTCTATTATTTTCTCTAGATTCTGTTTAATGAAGTTAAAAAGCTTTGCTACAGTGTAAGAGAATCTGTTTAAGAAATTACTCTAGAAAAGTAGTTCATTAAATGACTAATTTGGCCAAAATGATTTCAGTAAATCTGTATTTATATCAAGTAATTCAAAACAACCCCTTTTATAGGAAAATTATAACAATACTTTCAAATATAGTGTCTTTAATCCCATCTTTCTACTAGAACTAATTTTACATTTTATTTTATTGTCTTTGCCCCACACCTATAACTTATATATAAATCTTCATTTTGTTAACAAATCACAAGCATTTTCCATATATTTAATGCTTTCAAAAATGATTTTTAATTTTTAAAATTTAACATTGAATTATATAACTTACTCATATATTTATTTCTTGCACTTTAATCTGTTTTAAAATTTGATAATATATTCCTTTATTAAGGTATGGGTATTTTTTCTTTGAAAATATTTGTTTATTCTAAAACATAAATGTGATATTTGAAGGGATTAATTTTGAAATGATATTACAAAACATTCATAATTTGAAAAATTATCCTAAGAATGACCCTTACTAATGCCAGCAGGAAGCGTAGTATTATTAAAATAAAGCTTTCCAAACTTTACATAATTCAGAATTCTTTTATTTGCTCCCTAATATTTCTCAAATCGATAGGTTTTTAACTCGAATCACAAGAAGAGTTGATTGTGTAATTCTCTGGGATATAAAATATGGAATTAGATGACACATCTCTGTAAGCCCTGTTAACACGGCCATCCTCATTTTTCTTTTAAAAAGATTTTATTCTAATTTATAACCATGAAATTATTTATAGTATCTGTCTTATAAATACATACAGTGTGTCTTTATTATAAAATTAGTGATCAAAAATCTGTGACAAATACGTTTTTGCTGAAGTTTCAGATTCCCTGACAAAGATGTCTTTTTTTTTTTAAATATATTTTATTGATTTTTTACAGAGAGGAAGGGAGAGAGATAGAGAGTTAGAAACATCGATGAGAGAGAGACATCGATCAGCTGCCTCCTGCACATC